AGAACAAGAAAGAAATGAAGGAGAAGAAGGACAGGACATTCTTCAAAAAAGAAGGGTGGATCATATGTGGTCACTTGGGATAGTGATGCTTCCTCAAGTGATGATGATGATGATAGTGATGATCACAAGACCACCAAGAAGAAGGTTCTTGCAAGTATAGCAATCAATGAGAAGCCTTCTCTCTTCAACTCTCCATCATGCTTCATGGCTAAGGCCACTAAGGTATAAACTTGTGATGATGGAAGTGATAATGAACATGATAGTGATAGTGATAATGATGATGATGAACCTACTAAAGATGAATTAATTGACATGCTAGAAGATGCTAGAGAACACTTTGACATCTCAAGAAGGAATGCAAAAGCCATGTAAGGAACTAAAAGCCCTTAAGCAAGCATTTGATGAGCTCAATGCATCTCATGAGAGGCAAGAGGATGCCCATGAGAAGCTTTGCAAGGCTCACAAAAAGCTTGAAAAGGCTCATTCCTCTCTACTTGATGAGCAAAATAAAAAGAAGCATGTTGAAACTTGCAATGTAGGTTTAACTTGTGATCTAATTGATACATCACTATCTATGCCTATCATTGTTGCTCCTACTAACCCTTCTTGTAGCACTTCCACTTCCACCTCATCTAGTAGTGATGGTCTCACTTGTGATACCTCACTAGTGGTTGAGAATGAGAACCTCAAGAAGGAGGTAACTAAGCTCACTCACACCTTGGCTAAGGCTTATGGTGGTGAGGACCGCTTGCTTATGGCCTTGGGTAGTCAAAGAGCTTCTCTCTACAAAGAGGGATTGGGCTATACCCCTAAGAGAGGCAAGGCGGCCTTTGCTCCTCACAAGACAAGTTTTGTGAAGAACAATGGTCGGTTTGCACTAGTTGCAAACAAGTTGGTCATAGAGAGCATGAATGCACCAACAAAAGCAAAAATGCTAATGTATCCTCCATTAAGCTTAATTCTTCCTATATGCTTGTTAAGGGTACAAATGGTGTGAAGGCTAAGTTCATTGGCAAACCATGGATGGGCTCAAAGAAGAAAGCCATTTGGGTGCCAAAGAGCTTGGTTACTAACCTTCAAGGACCCAAGCAAGTTTGGGTACCTAAAAAATTGATCTTCTTTTGTATGTCAATTACAAAGCCGGAGGAAGGCATTGGGTTCTTGATAGTGGGTGCACTCAACACATGACCGGTGATGCAAGAATGTTCAACTCAATCAACATAAATGGCAATGATGGCTATGATAGTATCACATTTGGTGACAATGGCAAAGGCAAGGTCAAAGGACTTGGTAAGATTGCAATCTCAAATGACATGAGCATATCCAATGTGTTGCTAGTAGAGAGCTTGAACTTCAATTTGCTATCCGTGGCACAATTGTGTGATCTTAGATTCAAATGCATATTTGGGGTAGATGATGTAGAGATCATAAGTGTAGATGGCTCTAACTTGATCTTCAAAGGCTTTAGATATGAGAATCTATACTTAGTTGATTTCAATGCTAGTGAAGCTAAATTATCTACATGCTTGTTCACTAAGTCTAGCATGGGTTGGTTATGGCATAGAAGGCTTGGTCATGTTGGAATGAAACAATTGAATAGATTGATTAAGCATGACTTAGTTAAAGACTTGAAAGATGTTGTGTTTGAAAAGGATAAGCTTTGTAGCTCTTGTCAAGCCCGGCAAACAAGTTGGAAATACCCATCCTAAGAAAAGTATGATGAGCACTAGTAAAGTATTTGAGTTATTGCACATGGATTTGTTTGGGCCAACTCAATACATTAGCATTGGTGGAAATAAATATGGCTTTATGATGGTGGATGATTATACTAGATACACTTGGGTATTCTTTCAAGTGGACAAAAGTGATGTGTTTGCAACATTCAAATCATTTGTAAAGGGCATTCACAATGAGTTTGAAACAACCATCAAGAGAGTTAGAAGTGACAATGGCAGTGAGTTCAAGAATACTAGAGTTGATGAGTTATGCGATGAATTTGGAATTAGACATCAATTCTCGGCCAAGTACACTCCACGATCAAATGACCTTATTGAGAGGAAGAATAGAACAATCATTGATATGGCAAAATCTATGCTTAGTGAGTACAATGTGAGTCAATCTTTTTGGGCCGAGGCTATCAACACGGCTTGCTATTGTAGCAACTGCCTCTATTGTCATCCATTGAAAGAGAAAACACCATATGAGATCTTGAATGGTACAAAGCCCAACATTGCATATTTTGAGTCTTTGGTTGCAAATGTTATATCTTGAAGAAAGACACTAGATTGGGCAAGTTTGACAAGAAAGGTGATGAAGGATTCTAACTTAGATACTCAACTACTAGTAAAGTATATAGAGTTTGAAATTTGGATAGTGGTACTTTGAGGAGGTTCATGATGTTGAATTTGATGAAACCAAAGGTTCACAAGTAGAGAATGAGAACTTAGAAGATGTTAGAAGCATTCAACTTTCAAATGCCATGAAGAACATGGATATTGGTGAATTGAGGCCCTAGGCAAGTGATTGATGATGAAGATGATCAAGTGCAAGTGCTCTCCAACTCAAATGTGCAAAATGATACAAATCAAGCTTAGTGCAAATGACTCTCATGACATTGATCAAAATCAAGTGGCTAGTACATCATCTCAACCCAATGATCTAGCAAGTGCAAGCAATCAAGTTCCATTGCTCCAACCAACAAGTATTGCAAGAGATCATCCTTTGGATACAATCATTGGTGATATTTCAAGAGGTGTGCAAACAAGATCAAGATTGGCATCATTTTGTGAACACTTCTCATTTGTATCATCCATTGAACCGAAGAAGATAGATGAAGCTTTGAAGGATGTTGATTGGGTAAATGCTATGCATGAAGAGTTGAATAACTTCACAAGAAATCAAGTATGGAAGATGGTAGAGAGACCAAAGGGACACAATGTGTTTGGAACCAAATGGGTCTTTAGAAACAAGCAAGATCAAGATGGGATAGTAGTAAGGAACAAAGCAAGATTAGTAGCACAAGGCTATACACAAATTGAAGGTCTTGACTTTGGAGAAACATATGCCCCGGTTG